TATTGTTTTTTTGGTGTTGGGAATATGAGTTCTTTATATATTTTGGATGTTAGCCTCTTATCAGATATATCATTTATGAATATATTCTCCCATACTGTAAGTTGTCTTTTTGTTCTGCTGATGGTGTCCTTTGCTGTACAGAAGCTATTTAGTTTGATGCACTCCCACTTGTTCATTTTTTATTTCATTTCCCTTGCCCAAGGAGATGCATTGAGGAAAAAATTGTTCATGCTTATGTTCAAGAGATTTTTGCCTATGTTTTCTTCTAAGAGTTTTATGGTTTCATATCTTATATTTAGGTCTTTGATCCATTCCAAGTTTACTTTTGTGCATGGGGTTAGGGAGTAATCCAATTTCATTTGCTTATAGCTGTCCAGTTTTCCCAACACCAGATACTGAAGAGATTGTCTTTTCCCCATTGTATATTCGTGGCTCCTTTATTGTGCATTAATTGACAATAAATGTGTGGGTTTATATCTGAGCTCTCTAGTCTGTTCCATTGATCTATGGGTCTGTTCTTATGCCAGCCCCATACTGTTTGGATTACTGTAGCTTTCTGGTATAGCTTGAAATCAGAGAGCATAATACCCCTAGCTTTGTTCTTTCTCAGGATTATTTTGGCTATTTGGGGTCTTTGTAGTTCCATATGAATTTTGGGATTATTTGCTCTAGTTCATTGAAAAATGCCATTGGTATCTTGATAGCAATTGCATTGAATGTTTAAGTTGCTTTGGGCAGCATGTCCGTTTTGAAAGTATTAGTCCTTTCTATCCATGAGCATGAGATAGATTTCAATGTATTAGTGTCTTCCTTAATTTCTCTCCTAAATGTCCTAGAGTTTTCAGAGTACAGGTCTGTCACCTTCTTGGTTAGGTTTACTCCTAGGTATTTTATTCTTTTTGATGCATTGTAAATGGAATTGCTTTTCTGATTCCTCTTTCTGCTAGTTCATTGTTAGTATATAGGAATGAAACATTTCTGTGTCTTAATTTTGTATCCTGCAACTTTGCTGGATCCAATTATTAGTTCTAATATTTTGTGATGGAGTCTTTAAGTTATGTCATCTGCAAATAGTGACAGTTTTTCTTCTTCCTTACTGATTTGGATGCCTTTATCTCTTTATCTTGTCTGATCACTGTGGCTAGGACCTCCACTACTATGTTGAATAAAAATGGTGAGAGTAGACATCCTTGTTTTGTTCCTGATCTTTGAGGAAAAGCTTTCAGCTTTTTGCCATTGAATATGATGTTATCTGTGGGTTTGTTGTATATGGCATTTATTATGTTGAGGTGTATTCCTCTATTCACATTTTGTTGAGAGTTTTTATCATGAATGGAAGTTGAATTTTGCCAAATGCTTTTCCAGTATTTATTGAAATTGTGTGGTTTTTATCCTTTTTGTTGTTGTGAATGTTTCACATTGATTTATAAATGTTGTACTGTCCTTGCATCCCTGGAATACAGTTGTGATGGATGATCTTTTGATGTATTTTAAAATTTGGATTGGTAATATTTTGTTGAGGATTTTTGCATTTGTATTTATCATGGATATTGGTATATAATTTTCTTTTTTTGTAGTTTCTTTGTCTGGTTTTGACATTAGACAGCTGCTGGCCTCATAGAATTAATTCGGAAGTATTTCCTCCTCATCTACCTTTTGGAATATTTTAGGAAGGGTGGGTATTAGCTCTTCTTTAAGTGTTTGGTAGAATGCAGTAGAGAAGCCACCTGATAATAGACTTTTCTGTGTTGGGAGTTTCTTGATTACCAATTCAGTTTCATTACTGGAAATTGATCTGTCAAGATTTTCTGCTTTTCCCTGGGTCAGTCCTGGAAGGTTGTACTTCTCTAGGAATTAGTCCATTTTTTATAGGGTGTCAAATTTATTGGCATATAATTTTTCAAAGAATTCTCTTGTAATTTGTTGTATTTCTGTGTCAGCTGTAACAATTCCTTTTTCATTTCTTATTGTGTTTATTTGTGTCCTGTCTTTTTTTCTTGGCTAGGGGTTTGTCTGTTTATCTTCTCAATGAATCAGCTTTTGGTTTCATTGATATTATTCTATTTTTATTCTTCCCTATTTTATTTATTTCTCCTCTGATCTTTATTATGTCCCTCCTTCTACTAACTTTGGGTTTTATTTGTTATTCATTTTCTAGTTTCTTGTGAATTTAGACTGTTTATTTGGGATTGTTATTCTTTCTTGATGCAGGCCTGTATTGCTATGTATTTCCCTCTTAAAATTGCTGTTGTGGCATTGTATGTTTTGAACTGTTGTATTTTGTTTTCATTTATCTCCATGTATTGTTTGATTTCCTCTTTGATCCATTGATTATTTAGAAGCATGTTTTTTAGCCTCCCATGTGTTTGTGGGGGTTTTTTTTCTTCAAGAAATTAATTTCTAGTTTCATACCACTGTGATCTTAAAGATGCTTGGTCCAGTTACAGTCTTTTTGAATTTATTGAGGCTTTTTTTGTGATCTATTTGTCTCCTAATTGTGATCTATTCTAGAAAATGTTCCATGTGCACTTAAGAAAAAATGCATATCTCACTGTTTTTGGGTAGAACATTCTGTAGATATTTGTTCAGTCCATCTGATCTTGTGTGTTGTTCAGTGCCTCTGTTTCCTTATTTATTTTCTGTCTGGTTGTTCTGTCTATTGATGTGATTGGTGTTTTGAAGTCCCTAGTATGATTGAGTTGTGGCCTATTTCTCTCTTTGCATTTGTTTTACACTCCTATGTGGTTGCATAGATATTTATAATGGTTATACACTCTTGTTGAGCTGACCCCTTTATCATTATGTAATGTACCTCTTTGTCCCTTGTTATTTTCTTTGAAATGTTTTTTTTTCTTATACAGGTACTGCTACTCCTGCTTTTTTCTCATTATTTGCATGAAATATCTTTTTCCATCCCTTCACTTTCAGTCTGTGTATGTCTTTGAGTCTGAAATGAGTCTCTTGTAGGCAGCATATAGATGGGTCTTGTTTCTTCATCCATTCTGTGTCCTGTGTGTTTTGATTGGTGGATTCAGTCCATTTACATTTAAGATAGTTATTAATAGGTATGTATTTATTGCCATTTTATTAATTGATTTCTGGTTGTTTCTGTAGTTCCTCTCTGATCCTTTCTTCCTCTTTTATATTCTTCTCTTATCTGATGGTTTTTAGTGTTGTGACTGGATTCCTTTAAAAAAATTTTTTTTGTTTATGTATTATAGGCTTTAGATTTGTGGTTACCATAGATAGTTTTCTAAATATCTAACAGTCTGTATTTTGTCACTCTATCAGTCTAAAATTACTTCTTTTTTATTCTTCTTTTGCATCTATACATATTAGATGTCATAGTCTGGATTTTTTGTGTGTCCCTTGACAGATTTTATGTATAGTTGTTTTTACTACTATTTTTTTAAAACTTCACTTACTTAGCAATTGGTTTACTACCTTTAGTGTGGATTTATTTTCACTGATGAAAGATATTTAGGTTTAAGAACATTTTCATGTACAGAAGCCCCTTTAACATATCCTGTATGGCCAGTTTAATGGTGGTGAATTCTTTTCACTTTTGTTTATCTGGGAAACTTTTAATCTCTCCTTCAGTTCTGAGTGATAACCTTGCTAGAGGATTCTTGGTTGGAGGTGTTTCCATTTCAGTACATTAAATATTTTATACCCCTTCCTTCTGGCCTGTAAATTTTCTGCTGAGAAGACTGCTGATTCCCCTTTGTAAGTAATTTTTTGTCTCTATATATGCTCTCAATACCCTCCCTTTATTCCTAATGTTTGCTGTTTTAATTGTTACTTGTCTGTTGTTATGTTCCTGGGGTTCTTTTTGTTAGAGGCTCTCTGTGCTTCCAGAATCTGGGTGTCTATTTCCTTCCCCAGACTGGGGAAGTTTTCAGCAATTTTTCTTCAAAGAGGTTTTCTACTACTTTTTTTTTTCAATTTTCTCTCATACACACCCAAAGACTAATTGCAATATTATTTGTAATAGTAAAATTCTGCAGAACCTAAATGCTCATCAATAGGAAACTGCTTAATTTATGGTACAGGACTAGCAGTAACAAGAAACAACAAAAATATCAAGTAGCTTTTGAGAGGCTACCATGTGACTGGCATTATTTTAAATGACTTTTAGGTGTTAACTCCTTGAGCCCACACACTGAACCTGTATTTTAAATGTTTTATATGTGTTAAATCATCTAATCTGTATGATAAACATGTGGTATGTAAATATCATCATTACTTCTATTTTTTAGATGAGGTTACTGAGGCACAAATGGGTAATTAAGTTGCCTAAGATTACATAACTAGTAAAAGGCAGATAAAGTTTTACTTTCATATAGTTTGCCTCTAAAGCTCCTAACTTGTACAGAATGCTCTCCAAGATCTAGTAGTCAAATAAAGAGCAAATTGTAGAATATTATTCATGGTTAGATCCCAGCTATGTAAAAATAATTATTTTCTTGTGCCATTATTAAAATGATTATTATTAGTCTTCTAAAATTCTTGCCAATTGATGGTATAAAATGTTATGTCCTTTTAAAATGTATTTCTTATGTTTAAATCTTCAATCTGGAAGTCATTTGTGTCATGTGAAGTAGAGATATTACAATGTTTTTCATGAAGAAAGTCATGTCTCAACACCAGACACTATTTTTTTTGTAATAAAAAAAATAGAATACTGTAAAATTCAAAACAAGATGAAATTTCATTTTTGAAATGTTAGCTATGAAATAGGGCAACATTTTTCAGGATTATTTCAGATAAAAATATATCATAAAAATATTAGTCATTTCTATATCATTATATGTTCTATAGAAATAATATCATTTCTATAGAACATTTTCTTAGAATTAAAAATAGTCATTTTCAGTTTTACTAAGTACCTGGAGAAAAAGGGTGTGGTTCAGTTATTCATGTAACTATTAAATATGATTCATAATCTATTGTCTATGGAAAATTTTATTTTTACTTCAATTGTCTACTTTTCTTTCTAGGAAAGACTTCTGTGTACACAAAGATGAACCATGTGATACTGTTGGTAAGTGCACCTTAAAATTTTTACACTTTGAGGAGTTCTGAGAATGTTGAATATGTCAGTTGTTTAAATATAGGAAATTATTTGAGAGTGCTAGTTTTAATGGAGTATTTTTAGAATGTCAAAGATGTATATTCAACCTATATTTTTAATCATGTGTTATCACTTCAGTTATTAATGAAACAGCTTAAAAACATGTATACACTGTATATGGAGGAAAACTTTACTCAATGCTTTAGAATTACATGAGTTCTTTTTTGCTATTTTTCCAGAGATATACACATGGGTTCAATAAAATTCTATTATTATTGGTAAACTAAAGCAAAATATATTAATGACAATATGATTGACCTTTTACAGGCTAATGGATTTGCTTTTGAGTTATACATGCTTGAAGTTCTTTGTAGACTATATCAAAGGAAGTTCATCTAAGTTGCCTGACAAATGGGATTCTCTTTACATAAAGTAGCAAATTTTCTGTATTTTGTCCTTGGATATCTAAAATTCTAAAACATAACCATATAGCTAATGGAATCCATTAAACCACAGTTTTTACTTTTGAGAGAATGGTAACATATATGCTAATATAAATGCATCTGTATAAATATACCTTTCCACATATATATCTAGATAGATAAATATGAACTACATATAAAATATGTAACTATATATAGTTTTAAATCATATAGCTGTAAATAATAAGGTATTAGGAAGGTATATTTAATAGTCATAATCTAGTTTTGACATACCATATAAGGTTCATTAGTATAGGGGAATAGTATTTTGCCATCTTTGAGGCATCATTTGTTCTTTGTTACATAAACAAAAATAGGGGTATAAATAGAATAAATGGTATGGGTCTTTAAAAAAATAACTCTTACTAGTTCAATTAACAAGTTCTCATCAACTTAAGATGATTTAGATCTAAGGTACTAAGTGGAAGTTAGTTATAATAGTTGAAAGCACATGATGATGGATTCAAAGGAATGTTTGGTTCAGAAGGGATTATAAACATAAAACAAGCTGGACACCTCAGGAAAAGCTGAGTTCATTTAGCGATGGTATTCCTAATGTTAACTTACTGCTTTCTGCCATTCTCTTCTCCTCTTCTTCCCTAAATCTCCAGAAATTAAATCTTGAAACATAATTTTCATTAACCCTAACCATGATAGCTTTTGATTACTAATAAAGCTTGTCTCAAAATTTCCCTCCACTTAAAACAACTGTGTTGCTCCTAAAGCCATCTTTAATATAGGCCCATCAGTTCTTGCTCCTTCCAAGCCCCTGAAAGAATTCATCCACCCAGGCAGGATCTTCCACAATTATGCTCACTCATCACCTCTTTACAGCATGGATGTGCAGACTAAGGAAACAAGTACTAATAAGGGGCAAGCCAGTTTCTTTTTATTATGACTATGTTTCATACCTTCCTAAATCTGGAAATTAGGAAATAGCATACATGTACATGACATATATTATCTATGAAACTTATTTTCTGGTTTAGAACACATTTGAATAATGAAGTAACTTGGTGTGTTTGAACAATCAGTGGGTAGAGTTCGTCTGAAGAATGATATCATTAGTCCTCAGCTCTGTTCTCCTGTCCATAAGGGCTTGATAAAAATTGGTTTTAAATATTGTAGTGTAGGATTTGGATAGTCCAATACCCTTCCTGAGATCACTCTGTATTTTTTGTGTTTAGATTCTTTAGATCACATTTGGCATCACTAAATCCTTGTTTCCCCCCTCTGTATCTTATGGTAGTTTTTTTTCTCACCCCAAATATGATACAAGTGTCTTTTTCCTATTTAGTCTTGAGCAGAGTAAAAATATGAAGTAGTTCTTCAGGATAGGTAAGATGAAAAGCTGTAACAACCAAGAAAGAATAGGCTCTTCACCCTGATCTTTACCCTCGCAAAAAATACCATCACACTAACCATGTTTATGCTTAGAGATTGTACATTGATAGGGTCTGGAAAGACATTTGTTAAAAATAGGTATCGCGGTTGCCATCTCATTGTCCGCGCATCTACCACTGTGCAGCCACAGTGCCATGTAGATTTCAGGACCTTAGGCCTAACCCAGGAGGCAGATGACGTTGCTGTGGTTGGGACATGTGATCTGTCACCCATGTTTGTCTCATTAAACTACAGAAAGGAGCATTTTTCATAGTTAGAACTTGTTCATGTGTGTAAACAAGGCAAAATGCAACCTTGATCAGTATAATCATAAAGGAAAACAGCCTTCAGGTGAAGCCGGACTCATACACTGCAGAATGGAGAGATGAAGGGTGCCTGTCTCCTCAATGATATTGCAAAATTACTGCAACCTTGTCTAACTCTGGGCTTCTGAATGTGTAAGCCAGTAAATATCCTTATTATTTAAGCCCATTTAAGGCTTTTATTTCTCTAACTTGAAGCTTGAGGCAGAGATCTTTCCTGATACTCATATATTCATTTATAAGAAAAAATACAGGGCAATAGTAATCATTTCCCCTTTTATTAAGAGGGTTTTGGTAAACTGCTCTGTGACTCATTCCAAAAATTAAAAAGGTACGTGTGGCTTATTGGTCTCCTTAACAGTCCTCAATCTCTACTATAACAAAACAAGAGACATGGGGGTTAAATCAATAAAGTGTTTATTAGTAAACATTTTAAAATCTCATGTAATACTGTGGGTTGCATCAGGTGCTTTTCTTTAGTCATCTTTTTCTTAGCTTTTCTCTCCTCGGTATAGTGAGAAGGAAAGGACAGCAGTTAAAAGCTTTAAATGTATGTTCCTAACTTGAATTATAAATCGAGAGGAATGCCTGTATTTTGCAGTGGTGTGACTTACACTGTGCATTGTGTTTGAGCAACACTGTCATAGACATCAGCACATTTAATTCCTTCAAAATCTGAACTTTCCTGTTTTATTCACATTATTACTTTATAGATGAAGAGAACTCTGAAATAGAGCAGAGCTTGGCTTTTGAAGTCAGACATCTAGATTTAAATCAGGTCTACTGTTTATTAACTACCTAAGTGTGGACACATGCTCTCACACATTCAGTTTGTATGCCTCACCTGTACAAGAGAGGCTGTATTACTGACCTCACAAATGTTGTGAAATTGTGACACTTGGTACTGAGTATGCATTGGTTTGTGTCACATTCTTTTATTCCCCTCAGGCTGATAATAAATTTTCCCAGCATCTCCGTCAGTCTGTGATGCTGGCCTCTGCCTCAGAGCCTCTTGCTATAATGAAAGTCAGCTTTCCTTTGTAACATGATAAGTTCGTATAGTAGAGGACAATACAACTAGAAAACTAAAGGTGAGAAAAATATCTTAGAATGAGGTCATAGAGTAAAATTGTACAAATTAAAATATATAACGAAATGATAAATACCCACTTGGAAATAACATTTATTTACCAGCATTTTAATTTTGAAACAATAGGGTACTCTGCTCATTTGCTAATGCAAAAGATATGTACGTGTTAAATGATTTGAGCCACATCATTGTTATGGAATATTATGAATAAATGCTTCAGTTGATATTTTCTACATGTTTATTTAGCTCATAGTTGAAAAGCTATTTAGAGGGTAAAAGGTAAAAATTTTTTTGCCATCCTCTCAATCATACTTCTGCCTGTTGTTTTAGTTGCTTAGATGGTTTGATTGATTGGTAGGTAAGTATATAGATACTGGAAGAAAATGCTATTAAATGTTTTAATCAACAAAATATTAATTCTGAACTGGGTGTTCATCTTTTAACATTTCTGAAATTGAGATTCATTTTGTAATCAGTGACTTGTTAGAATTGTGTCATAGTTTAATTCAATCTTAGGTTGGATGAACTATCACAGAATCCTTAAATTTCAGGGGGCATGAAGCATCATTCCAGAGTCAAGTGGCAACTATTTATCTGTCAGTATTGCTGACAGATATGTTAGATTGCACAGCACAGGGAAGTGAGGGTTGCAGGTGGAATTTAGGCCACCAGTCAACTGACCTTAATAGAGGGAGATTATCCTGTGCTAATCACAAGGGTCCTCATATACAGCAGAGGGAAGCAGAAGAGTTCAGAGTCAGAGAGATGTGATGACTGAAAACACACACAGAGAGATGTGATGGGAGAAGGATCTGACTCATGAATACTGGTTTTGAAGCTGGAGGGAGGGGGACCCAAGTAAATATACACAGGCAGCTATGGAACCTAAAAAAAAAGGCAAGGAAATGGCTTCTGTTCTAGAGCTTCCAGAAGGGAGCTAGTCAGCCCTGTGATGCCTTCATTTTAGCCCACGAGATCTGGGCCACACTTCTAATGGAGAGGATTGTAAGGTCATCAATTTGGGTGTTTTAAGTAATTAAGTGTATGATAATTTGTTACAGAAACCATAAAAAAGCTATGCATTCCAAGTAACTATTTACTCCCCATGACTTATTGAGAAGAAATAAAGAAACATGGTGGTTTCAAATCTTTAGACTGTGGGGTTAAATTAAAAAATAGATACTTTTATCATGATATACAAATATATAGAAGGCACAACAAACTGGTTTAACAAACTCAAATTATTGTAGTTGACCATTTCTAGCTGAGAGACTAGACCAAAAAGTTGTCAATATCATCCATGAACAATGAAAGAAATAGAACCAACTCTTTAACATCTTTCCAATAAATACCAAGCTGTGATGATTTTGCAGGTGATTTCTACTAAAATCCCAAAGAGCAGATCATTCCAGAATTATACAGACTATTTTAGAGAATAGAAAAGGATGAATTAAAACCATATAAATTTCTTAACAAATCCTGAAAAGTTCAATGTAAGAAAGAAAATTAGTGTTATTCTCACTCAGGAAAAAATTGAGATAATTCTAAAACAAATATTAACAGACATTATCTCATAATGTATTTTAAAAATAACCAGGTAGGATTATTCCAGATTTATTCCATAGATATAGGAGTAGTTTAACATTAGAAAAAAACATAAAATGTAACTAATCCAATCGAAGCTAAAAGCCA